CAGTGGGAGACGGAGGAGGAGGAGGAGCAGGGGACGGCTCACACACCCGCCACCCCCATACCCGCCACCCCCATACCCCCAACACAGGGCAGATACGCGGGCAGTAGCTGGGGCGCTGCGACGGGCGACGGGCAGGGCGGTGCGCGGGCCCCCAGGGCGCCACGACGGGCGACGGGAGGGGGCGACGTGCGGGCCCCCAGGGCGCCGCGACGGGCGACGGGCAGGGCGGCGCGCGGGCCCCCAGGGCGCCGCGACGGGCGACGGGCAGGGCGGCGCGCGGCCCCCAGGGCGCCGCGACGGGCGACGGGCAGGGCGGCGCGCGGGCCCCCGGGGCGCCGCGACGGGCGACGGGAGGGGGCGGCGCGCGGGCCCCCGGACGCCGCGACGGGTGACGGGAGGGGACAGCGCGCGGGCCCCCGGGGCGCCGCGACGGGCGACGGGAGGGCGGACGGCGCGCGGGCCCCTGGGGTGCCGTGACGGGCGACGAAACCGCCGCGCGCGCCCGGGGCGCGCGGCGGGCAGGAAACCGCCACGCGCCCCGAGCGCGTGGCGGGCAGAAAACTGCCGCGCGCCCCGAGCGCGCGGCGGGAAGAAAAAAACGCCGCTTGCGCCGGGCTCGCGGCAGGCAGAAAACGTCGCGCGCCCCGGGCGCGCGACAGGCAGGACAGCAGCGGAAGCAGGTGGGCCCACAGGCCAGGAGCGGGCGCGTGGCGAGCAGAAAACCGTCGCGCGCCCCGAGCGCGCGGCGGGAAGAAAAAAACACCGCATGCGCCGGGCTCGCGGCAGGCAGAAAACGCGACAGGCAGGACAGCAGCGGAAGCAGGTGGGCCCACAGGCCAGGAGCGTTCTCGCTCTAATAGCATGTCGAGAAACGCTAGTAGAAAGTTAGAAACAGAAAGAGGAGTTGCACTAGCAGCAGATAGGATACATATAGCAAACCCTAATTTGGGCTGTACTCACTATAGAGTACCCCACCGCAGACTAGACAATTATAGCATTCTGACAAATAGTACCCCCTCTAGAAACTTCTCTCGTACGAGACAAGTTCACAGTAACCTCGCATGTGCACTGTTGCACTCTGACCCGTCATTGCTTGACCATAGATCGTGATGGCAACATGTGACTACACACGTCAGATGTCGAAGCCAAAACTGGCACCCCAACCTCACTGGCCCAAGTAACGACAAGGGGGTGGTGAAATTGGTTGTATTGAAGTTGGCGAGGGCGAGGTGTACTCTTCGGCCCCACTTTCATAGTTTTCCTTTTGTAGGTGCCATGGAAAAGCAAAACGGGGTGTTCCGAGAATTGAACTCGGGACCTCTCGCACCCTAAGCGAGAATCATGCCACTAGACCAAACACCCACGCGTTTGACTTGAACGTTAGGCTATAAAAATGGATGTCGGCGAATATTTCTCGTGAATATCGACTTCATCGATTTCCACTAGGCTTCTCCGCATGTCGCGCCTATGCTTGCCTCCCATTCATCCCTCGTCCCTTCTCGGCCTCAATCCAATGGCATCATCTAGGGAAAACGAGGCACTTCCAGTCTGGAACGCGAAGTACTTGTTCATGGGATGGTCAGAATCGCACGCATCGGCTCGAATCCCTCGCCTCCACCCAAGTGCCTCGAACCCGTCCGTCGTTGAGGCCGACACTCGGATCTCCGCCGTGCCTATATATTACCGTCAGCCTCACCGTCATCTTTACCGTCAGTCGTTGAGGCCGACACTGGGATCTCCGCCGCGTCTATATAACTCGCCCTCCCTCGCCGTTTGCTATCAGCTTCGGCGTCAGCTTGCGCTCACGTCCGCCATTCCACAAGGAACGACCGTCACAACCACGCGGCAGAGCGAGCCGGCATCGTCAAGCAGCGCCACCACCGTCGCCCCTCGCCGCGCGTCGCCTTCGCCGTCGTCGATCTCAGTTCGCTTGCCGCGCTGCTTCCAGTCGACTCAAACCGCCACCACCATGGCCTCTCGCCGCCCGCCGCCCTCAGCATTCTCGATTTCCCTTTCCCCCGCTGCGCTGCTCGTTCTGGGCCTGGCTCTTCTCGGCCTATCCTGGCCGTCCATCGGCGCGTCGTCCCGGCGCGTGCTGCTGCAGGCTGGTGGCGCGTCATCGGACGGCGCGGCGGCGTTCGGGAGCCGCGTGATTTTCAACTCGATGCAGAACGTGGGCGTGCAGGACGGCGGGGCCATCGCGCTCACGCTCGACCGCACTGGAGGTGCGTATAGAGGGCAGGCGCGCGGGCAGTGCTTGAGGGGCGTGCGGGCATTGCGGTGGGGGCAGTGCGGTGAGGGCAGTGCGAGGGGCGTGAGGGGCAGGGGCGTGAGGACATGGCGGGTGCTGATGGATAATTTGTTACTTCCGACAACTAGTAGCCGCCCTCTATGCTTTGAGCCGCTCTCTGTGCCTTGAGTTGTCTTCTTTGCGCCGGGAGACCAACGCTGCACAGTTGTTGGGGGGCATGGGTATGCCTGTCATGCGATGCGAGCGATGTGTTGTGAGCAGGGTGCAAAATTTCGGCGAATTTTTTAAATTTTGGGCGAAATTTTCGCTGTCGTAACTTTCGCCCGAAGTTTTCGTTAAATTTCGGTCAGAAAAAAATATTATATATGGGTGGAAAATTTCGCCCGAAATTTTCAAAAAAAAAAAAAAAAAAAACAGTCACATTTAATTGAGCTGGAAACCTGTCATGTAATATATGCAATGAATAGTTTTTAGTGTGCCAGGCAATTATGAGACTGAAGAAGCTGAGAAATACTAGTGAAAAGGTGATGTATCATGTCATGTGCATTCAGGAAAGTGCTCAATCAGTGCAATGGCATGATATAAAATAAAAGACAGTTTTTTTTTTTTCCTTGAGGCCTAACAAAATTTCGCCGAAATTTTCAAAATTCCAGCGAAATTTTCGGGCGAAAGTTTCGAAGCGAAAAATTCGCCTAGCGAAATTTTCAACCTTGGTTGTGAGTGCCATGGAGGAGTGAATATAACATGCACTGTCAGTAAATGGAGTGACTGAAACGATGTGGCTCATTGCAAATCCGTCTGATTCACCCCGGTCCTGTGCGGTGCTGTGCGGTGCCGTGCTGTGCTGTTTGTGTGTGTGCATGAGTGGCAGGAGCGGGGTTTGAGTGCAGCGACGCGTACAGCTTCGGCACGTTCAGTGTGGAGGCCAAGATGCCTGCCGGCTACTCTGCTGGCGTCTGCGCCACCTACTTCGTACGCCCCTCCCAACCCAACCTGCTGCTTCCTCCGTCCTAACCTCTCGCATTGCTTCTTTCTCGCATTTCTTCTGTCAGAATCGGTTGCTCTATTCAAGCAAGCATCAAATCAAGTCTTGGGAGCACGGGTTCTCAACCGGCACACGTGCATGCGACACCCACCCACCCCCCACATGCCCCCCCCAACAGCTGCAGTCAGGGTCGTACGAGCAGCGCAACGAGTGGGACTTTGAGTTCCTGGGCTCGCCCAACACGTCGCTGGGCATGACGCTGCAGACCAACGCCTTCATGGGCGGCACGGGCGGGCAGGAGGAGCTCTATGCGTTTGGCTTCGACCCCGCTGCTGACTTCCACACCTACTCCATCCAGTGGGGGCCTGACCAGACCGTGTAAGCACGCAGCTGACACACCCCTGCCCGTCGACCTCTTCCACCTGGCGTGCGTGGGAGTCAGCCAGATGCGTCCACCTTCCGGCTCGTGCTCCTTGCTTGCTGTCCTCCCTTTTGGTTCTTCTTATCTTTCAGTCGGGACCTATTGTGGTCTGATGCATCGTTTCGCATGTTTTTCGTATACGCCGGCGCATGCTCACCTGTGTTCACATACATGCCACTTACCGCAATGATTGCTCTCCCAGGTGGCTGGTGGACGGGGAGGTGCGGCGGGTGATGGGCAGCAGCAACCCTGCCTACCCGCGGGACCCCATGCGCGTCTACTTCAGCATCTGGGACGCCTCCACCTGGGCCACGGGGCCCAGGACTGCTCGCATCCCTGTCGACTACAGCTATGCTGTGAGCCTCCTTTTATGCGCCCTTGCATGTGCCCTTCTGTGTGCCCTTCTCCCTTGCCTGCACTTGTGCTTGCACCTCCACCTGGGCCACTGGTCCCAGGACTGCATGCATCCCTGTCGACTAAAGCTATGCTGTGAGCGCCCTTCCATGCGCCCTTCCATGCGCCCTTCTCCCATGTCCGCACACATACTTGCACCTCCTTCTGGGCCACCAGGCCCAGGCCTACTCGCATCCCCATGTACATAGTGCTATGCTGTGCTACACCCTTCTCCCGCCTCTGGGCTGGATGTGTAGTGTGCAGTTGGCCTGGCCGCGCGGCATTTATAAGGTGGGTACTGATTGGTCCCTCTGTGTGTGCGCTGTGCTGCATGCAGCCATTTGTGGTGACGTTCAGGAACTTCAAGTACACGGCAGCTTGACTCATGCGCGGCGCAGTGCGGTGTAGTGCTTCCGAGTATGTCATTTATGTACAATTCAATGTAAAGTTAAGTAATTACTAGTATCTTTTGTGGCTTACAACATGGGGCAGCTTCCCACCACTTGAGGTCAAGCCCACATGGGGGCAAGACTGTTTTCCAAACCCAACATGCAGATGAACCTTTGCATTTAAACAAAACTAGTGTCTAACTGAGGAGAAAGGTGGCAGGCTTTGAGTGCCTGTAAGCCACGGCTTACAGCACTGGCCCTTCCATTCCTTCCTCTACATTCACTCCTCTGCTTCCCTCCCACCCAGCCTTCACATTCTGGTCCTCTCAGCCTGCCTCTCGCCCTCACCCATTTGCAACATCAGCCATGCATCATGTGTTGCAGCAAGCACAGCAATCCCATGTCATGCCTCTCCTCCTCCCCACCCTCGTCACCCTCCTCCTCCTCATGTGCCGGCTGCAGTCGCTGCCACAGCTCCTGCCTGTCCCACCTTCCCTGCAGCGTACCCAACCACACATCATGTGCTGTGGCCAGCACACCCACCTCATCCTCATATCCCCATTATGCCTCTTCCACACCCCCATCCCCGCCATCCTCCTCCTCACATGCCGGCTGCAGTCGCTGCCACCGCTCCTGCCCGTCCCACCTCCCCTGCAGTGCCGCCAGCCATGCCCCGTGCCGCTCCCCCACTGCCCTCACCCCCGCATCCTCGTGCTGACGGGGAGGGGAAGGGGAAGGGGAAGGGGGAAAAGGGGAGTGGGAAAGGGGAAGAGGGACAGGCTTGAGCAGTGAGGTGAGATTGGTTCATCAGCCATGCCCCGTGCCGCTCCCCCACTGCCCTCTCTTCCACATCCCCATGCTGACGGCACTCACACAATGGATCGGGTGGGGGAAGGGGAGGTGCAGGGGAAGCGGGAACAGGAGGGGGGCCGGGCTTGAGCAAGTGAGGTGTGAGTGGGTTTTATGCCATGCATCCATCCGCCCTGTGGCGTAACAATTAGATCAGCGGTGTAAGAGGACAGCCGTGAATGCCTGCATACAAAGCTGGGCTGGGAGTCAGCATGTGCACATGAATGCGTACTTGCATGCGTACTTGCATTGGACACGTATCTGTATGCATACATACATGCCGGTGCATGTCTGTGTGTAAGCATGTAAGTGCACGTCCATGTGCGGGCGTGCATGCACGTGCGGACGTGCATGCATGTGCGGTTGTGGATGCATGTTCAGGCGTGCATGCATGTTCAGGTGTGCATGCATGTTCAGGTGTGCATGCATGTTCAGGTGTGCATGCATGTTCAGGTGTGCATGCATGTTCAGGTGTGCAAGGCAGGCGCTCACCTGGTGAGGCGGCGGGTGGGGGCAGATGGCGGTGTGCAGGGCACTGGCGAACTGACTGAGGTGAGAGAGAAGAGTGGAGGGAGAATGAAGGCAGCTTGAATGGTGGGGGTCGGAAGCACAGTGGATGGTTACATGGATCAACATGCATGTCCCTACACAGGCAGATGCTCAATACACGCTCAGGCAGATCCGATACATGCACACACGAGCAGTCCCGCACCCAACACAGCCACTCGTAACACGTGACTGAAAGCAACAGAAGACCGGGGTCATCGGAAGGAACAAAGGACTCATATGCATGGCTTGTGACAAGTACAGATAGCACTGAAGGGGTAGCTATGGGATGACTCAGCAGCACATGTGACCACTGCATGGGATGGCGTCAGCACCTGATGAGGATGACGTCATCATCGCTGACATGGGTTGCTGGCATGGTGGCAGCGAACTCTATGAGCGAATCTGAGAGGGGATGCAGGAAGCATGCAGGGTAGCATGCAGGAAGCATGCAGGGTAGCATGCAGGGTAGCATGCAGGAAGCATGCAGGGTAGCATGCAGGAAGCATGCAGGGTAGCATGCAGGAAGCATGCAGGGTAGCATGCAGGGTAGCATGCAGGGTAGCATGCAGGAAGCATGCAGGGTAGCATGCAGGAAGCATGCAGGGTAGCATGCAGGGTAGCATGCAGGGTAGCATGCAGGGTAGCATGCAGGAAGCATGCAGGGTAGCATGCAGGAAGCATGCAGGGTAGCATGCAGGGTAGCATGCAGGGTAGCATGCAGGGTAGCATGCAGGAAGCATGCAGGGTAGCATGCAGGAAGCATGCAGGGTAGCATGCAGGGTAGCATGCAGGGTAGCATGCAGGAAGCATGCAGGGTAGCATGCAGGAAGCATGCAGGGTAGCATGCAGGGTAGCATGCAGGGTAGCATGCAGGAAGCATGCAGGGTAGCATGCAGGGTAGCATGCAGGGTAGCATGCAGGAAGCATGCAGGGTAGCATGCAGGAAGCATGCAGGGTAGCATGCAGGGTAGCATGCAGGAAGCATGCAGGGTAGCATGCAGGAAGCATGCAGGGTAGCATGCAGGAAGCATGCAGGGTAGCATGCAGGAAGCATGCAGGGTAGCATGCAGGAAGCATGCAGGGTAGCATGCAGGAAGCATGCAGGGTAGCATGCAGGAAGCATGCAGGGTAGCATGCAGGAAGCATGCAGGGTAGCATGCAGGAAGCATGCAGGGTAGCATGCAGGAAGCATGCAGGGTAGCATGCAGGAAGCATGCAGGGCAGGAAGCACAGAGAAGGGGTTGTGGAGGGCCAAAAGTGAGAGAAAATGAGGTGGAGGGGTGGAGCATAGCGATAGTGGATGCAGAGGGAGGGTTGGGAAAGGCGAGAGGGGATGGACGGGAGTGGCAAAACAGGAGTGATGGAGGAGTTGCAGAAAATGAAAAAGATGTGTGCGAGAGATGGTAGATTAGAAGCATCACTTCTCACAGCCGTGCTTTCACTCACCTGGTGACTGACCATCTCTCCTCCTTCCACAAACCCCCACGTCATCCTCCTCTGCTGCCCCCATGAGCAGGCACCGTGATGAACGCCATTCCTCGAGCCCCTCATCACCCAGCTGGGGAGCCACCGCCACTAATTTGCGCCTAAACTCGCCCAGCCCTCACTACCCCCACGGACCACACAGGTCTGACCCCTTCAGCCCCACACGCTTGGCCCTCCCATCCCAATGCCGTGACTCACACAGGTTCTCGCACATCACCACCGCTGTCTCTGCCTCTGCTCGCCCCCTCTGCCGCTTCCCTTCCCCTTCTGCAACCTTGCTGCTGCCGCCCGCACCCGCTGCCCCCTCCCCAGCTGCCCCCGCCCCAGCTGCCCCCGCCCCAGCTGCCCCCTCCCCAGGTGCGGCCTGCAAGGGTCCCTGGTGGCGGATGGCAGCGACAACGAGGTTGAGGAACTGGTGGTGCTGCTCGCCTGGGGGGTTGGGGGAGTGGAGGGGGTGTGGGAGGAGAGGGGATGGGGAGGACAGTACATAAGGCAGTACATGGCACGGGATGACGAGGTTGAGGAACTGATGGCGCCGCTCGCCTGGCAGGGTGGGGGGGACGTCGAGGGGTGGGGGGAGGTACGTACGGAATGGCACGCGTTCTTTCTCGTACATATGCTTCCACATATGAGCAACACACTAGATTGGAGAGAGTTGTGGATGCACATGTTGCGGTGAGGTCAGGCGGAAATGGACATTTGTGATGAGGGGAGGCAGGTGCAAAGCAGCATGAACCGGCACCCTGCTTTTACAGAGAGGCAACTTAGCAAGCAAGGACAGCAGGGCAGAGGGGGCAGCAGAGCAGCATACGAGGGCAGAGGTTGGGGTCAAAGCAGTGCAGATTGGCAAAGAGCTTCACCAGCAGCACCACGCTCTGCCACCCACTCCCCACCCCGCCCTCGCCCCTGGCACCTCCACCCGCACCTCCACCCTCTTCCCCCCCTCCCCTTTCGACCCCACTCCTCCCTCCTCCCTGCACCTTCGCTGCTGCCCCATTCGACGTCCACCCACTCACTCCGTCTGCCTCCACTGCTGTCCCGCCGTCCCCTCCCTCCAACCAGATCACTCCCTCCGCCCAGTCACTCTCTTCCTTCCCTCCCTCACTCCCTCGCTTCCGTTTCTCTCTCTCGTTCTCGCTCTCCTCCTTCTTTCTCTTCCTTCCCGCCATCTGTTCATCAACTCGGCAAAACTGAAAGTTTCCTCGAAGCTTCCCAACACTTGTGCCATCTCCCACACCAACCCCCCTCCCTCTCTCGCCCCTGCTGCCACTGCGGCTTTTCGACCCAGCTGCCTCCTTATAAGCTGCCCTCGTTACAGCCACAAGCCCTCCCTCAGAAAACGAGAACGGGCCAGAAGAAAGCGTCTCCGTCGAATCCTCAACAGCGTTCAACCCACATTTGCCACTCCCCACCCCTTCACCCGCCTTCCTATTCTCCTCCCCATGGCCGGGCACAGCAGGAGCGACCGCAGAGGGGCGGTGCAAGGGTGAGGTGGAGCGGTTGAGGCTGTGCAAGCGTGAGTGGGTGAGATGGAGGGCGAGGCCGAGGGAGGGGAAGGGGCGGAAGAGGACAAAGGCGTCAGCCTCACGGGCGGCAAGGGCGCGTGTGAGTGGGCCGTGCAGCCATCGCGATGCGAAGGCAGGGGAGGGGGGGGCGAGCAGACGCACTAGCAGGGGCGCCTGGAGGGGAGGGGTTGGGAGGAGGGGATGGGAGGAAATGGGGAGGAGTGGAAAGGCACGGTAGAGGTGATGTGGAGAGTGGATGAATGAGTGGTGCACACATCTGTGCGCATGGGAAGGCACGGCGTGGAGCATGAAGCAGAGACACAGGTGGAAGGGTGTAGCGTGTACAGCACAGGCACGCGAGCATGAGAGTGTGGGGAGTGGATGTGGGCATGAGAGTGCGCATGTGGACACGGCAACGCACGGCATGGAGCTAGAAGAAGGGGCATGGGAATGTGGGGAGTGGAGCACACAGGCACATGCAGGTGGGCATGGGAGCGCACGGCATGCAGCATGAAGAAGGGGCGGAAGCTGGAGTCGTCTGACAGCACTTCCGCCGCCCGCAGCACGTTCACACTCAGCCGCCCGCAGGGGAGAGATGCGTGAGGGGAAGAGAAGGAGGAGAAGGCGGGTGTGGGGTGGGCGAGGAGGCGAGCTGTGAGATCAACGTTGGCAATGGCCGTGTCGTGTAGGAGAGAGAGGATCTGCAGGGAGGTAGTGGGAGCAGTGGTTGGGGCGGGTTGGGGCAGTGGAAGCACATAAAGCAGGTGAGAGAGAAGAGACAAGGAGTGACGTGTGGCAGAAAGCATGTGAGTGAAGCATGGGAGGCGAGCGGTTAGAACTTGAGAGAAGCGCACAGAAATGTGTTCTCCAGGGGATACCCCTCTTATGGATGCAATGGCGAGTAAGCTACCTCTTGTGTAACGCTGTGTGCTAGTTGTACCGAGGCTGGACTGGCTGCCACGTCATCCAGAAAAGTGGAGCCGTCTGCCTCACTCACTGCGAGAAACTGTAGAGGCAGACATAGGGAGGGAGAGAGAGAGGGGGGGAGTGAGAGAAGGAGTGAAGGACGTGGCAGGACATGGTATAACCCCACCCTTAAAAAAGTACCGGACCATTCGAGGGAGTGAGAGGAGTGGCAGGACAGGGGAGACGGGGAGGGACGAGAGGAGCACGATGGCACGTGATGGTGGCGGCTGATGGCACGGCATGGTTTGGTTAGAGACGCCAAGTGCACACTTGGCAGCTAACACTACTTATGATGACATGAGAGGAAGTGAGTGAAAGAGGAATGACAAACTTCACTTGGGCAGACTGATCCCATCATTTGCAAGGGGGTGTGTGTGTGTGTGTTGCGTGCAACTTTGTGCAGCAGTGAGTGTGTGAGCGAGTGTGTGAGTGAGTGTGTGAGTGAGTGAGCGAGTGTGTGTGCGTGTGTGTGCGTGAGTGCGTGCTCGTGCGCGCCCACCATCTGAATGGCTCGGCTCTTGCAGCGAGAAATGGCTGCCACCAGGGCCTCTGGCGGTACGACTTGGTGCCACGGGCAATTAGAGGGGGAGGCGGAGGGAGGAGGGCGAGAGTGGGAGTGTGGGAAGTCTTGGGAGGAGTAGGTGGAGGAGTGAGTGGGGTGTGGGGGCGGGCAGGGTAGAGGGGGGAGAGGCGGAGGGAGGAGGGCAGGGAGGGGCAAGCGGAGGACAGCGAGGAGCAGTTGCAGGAGAGCTCCCCCTTGGATGAGGTCCTGCGAGGGGAGGACAGGGGAGAGATGGGGGTTGGGGAAAGGGGAGGGGAGAGGAGGGTACTGATGGGGGGCAAATGCGGTGGTGCACATGTGGGGTCAAATGTGGGCACATAGTTAGGTCGAGTCCAGTCCGTCCAGTGCATGGCATGGGTGTAGTCATGTGGCACACACACACACCCTTCCACAAGGACCACGGCACACGCACAGCAACGTTGCACCCTCCGCACCGCTCCACAGGTCGCACAGATGGAGCGCCAGGTGGCACGGCGAGCCCACTCTGCCCGTGTGGGTGACATGCACAGCCTAGTGATAGCCTCTCACTTTTGCGCATCTCACGTCTGTGAAGCCTATTTCTTAACCGCAAAAACAGCTTCTGATTTGTGCCGGTACCATAGCAAAAGTGTGCACCCTCTGAAGGCATCGCCACACACGCACCTGGTGCGTCGTAACACATGCAAAGGGAAGGCGCACCTGGTGGTGCATGACAAGGGCACCCAGCCCATCAGTGCGGCACAGCACGTGCAGCACCTGCAGAGCCGCCTCGCACTGCCTCACCACCCCCTGCACCGAGCCCCACTCCACGTCCCTTCCCCCATTGCGCCCCTCATCCTTCCCCCCATCCTTCCCCCCATCCTTCCCCACATCCCTCCCCACATCCCTCCCCACATCCCTCCCCACATCCCTCCCTCGAACCACCCCCCTGCCCGCACGTGTGAAGGCGGCAAGGGAGGGCGAGAGCAGGGAGTGCAGCAGGAGGAAGGCGGTGGTGACGGCTGAGAAGGCCGCTGGCAGGAAGGCCCCCACCTGGGCGGGATGGGAGGAAGGATGGATAGGTACATGGTTGGATGGGTGCATTGGTGGGAGGGAGGGATGGGTAGGTGCATGGGTGGAAGGATGGATGGGTGCATGAGGCGAGGGACAGAGAGGATCGCGAAGGGAGCATGGGGACGAATGGAGCATAGGGTGTGAAAGAGAGCATAGGAGCAGAGGGAGCGTGGGGACGAGGGGAGCGTGGGGACGAGGGGAGCGTGGGGACAGAGGGGAGTGTGGGGACAGAGGGGAGTGTGGGGACAGAGGGGAGTGTGGTGTGGGGTCAGAGGGGAGTGTGGGGACAGAGGGGAGTGTGGGGACAGAGGGGAGTGTGGGGACAGAGGGGAGTGTGGGGACAGAGGGGAGTGTGGGGACAGAGGGGAGTGTGGGGACAGAGGGAAGCATGGGGACAGAGGGGTTGCAGGGGGAGCAGCGCACCAGGGGGTTACAAAGTGTTTTCAACACACCAGGGGGTGCAGGGCGAGCACGGAGCAAGTGTCGATCCAGTCGGGGGTGACGAAGGCGGGCAGCAGGTACAAGCACGATGCCACCGTGCCCGCATACAGTGCTGCTCCCCCCACTGCCGCCTCCCCCACTGCCGCCTCCCCCACTGCCGCCTCCCCCACTGCTGCATCTTTAATTGCTGCATCCCCCGATGCTGCCTCCCTCTCTCCACCGTTCTCCCCTCCCGTCTCCCCCCCCATCGTGCATGCCTCATCACCCTTGCCCGCCGCGCCATCTGCCCTCACTGCCTCACCTGCCCTCGCTTCACCACCTGCACTCGTCACTGCATCCACGCCTCTTGCCTCCTGCGTGCCACGACTGCCACCCTGTGCACCCTCGCCAGTGCCCTCCCCACACTTGTTGCCTGTGCCTGCTTCGCCTTCCCTCGCAGCAGCTGACCCCTCACCCCCCTGCCCTCCGCTACCATCAGGAGCAGCCTTGTGGGTGTTAGCACCGCCAACACCGCCAGCACCATCAGCGCTCGTGGCAGCAGCACCACGGCCTGCCACCTGTCCCTGCTCGCACCCTCCTACTCCCTTGCCTCCTCCTCCTGCTGCTGCTGCTGCTGCTGCTGCCTCCACTCTGCCACCACCATCGTCATCCCTGCTGGTCTTGCATTGCCCTCCGCTGCCCCTGCTCCCTCCAGCAGACAGCTGCCGCGGGCGTATGGGATGACGAGGGTTGAAAATGGGACAATGAGAATTTGGGATAGGCACGAGCAAGTGTAGGTTGCCCTTGCAGATGAGAATCGAGGGGGAGAGGGGAGGTTGTGACAGCATGGCTGGCAGTGACAGGTACCCACTGGGTGCGCCGCAGCAAAGGCGAGGGTGAGCAGCACGACCAGGTCTAACATGCGTGCGTGAGTGCTTGCTGCCATGTGCGTTACATGGCTGGCAGTGACAGCCTCACAGGTGCCCACCCACCGGGTGCGGTGGTGCAGCGAGGGCGAGGGTGAGCAGCACAACCAGGTCCAGCATGTGGCGCCGCACACTTGTGCTCACCAGGAGCACCTGGGGAGTGTGGGAGGGGGAGAGGAGGGGAATTTTAGAGTGAATCGATGAGGGGAAGGCCCTCACACAGGGGTTTGGGTGTCGGAGTGGTGAGAGCACAGAGCGGGGTTTGGATGGCCCACCATACCGCACACCACAGTGCACCACATGCAAGTAACTCGCAATTTGACAGGGCAGCACACGCACAAACACACTCACTCAAGCTCACCTGGTGCAGGCGCGGCATGTGGTTAGCGAGGTCGCACAGCGAGTGCAGCAGGCGCACCCCCTTGGCCACGTGCGTCAGCCACAGCTCCCCACCCCCCTCGCCTGCCAGCCCATCCTCAGATGCCAGCCCGCACTGCTCCCTCGCACCCACCCCATAACCCTCCTCTCTCTTGCCTTCCATTTTATTCCCCCGCTCGTCAACTCTCCTTGTCTTCCCGTTCTTCTGCTCCCCTCCCTCCCCTGTCTCCACTCCACACCTTCTCTTCTCGCCTCTCCTCTCTCCCTCCTCCTCCCCGCCTTCACCACGCTCCCCTCCATTCAGCCCCTCTTCATGATCCATTTGTCTCAAAATCCACCCTATTGTCGCTGTGCTGTTGCTGCTGATGGTGAAAACACCATCTTTTACAGTCACACCACTCACCCCTTCAACAGCCCTCCCCTGCACCTCTGCACCCTCCTGCATCTTCCTCTCCCTGCCTGCTTCCACTTCTACCTTCCCTTCCATCCTCCCCCTCGGCCCTGCCTCCAGCCCACCCTTCTCCTCCTCCTCACCTCCCCGCCCCTCTCGATCTCCGCACTGCACACCAGATCTCACATCCTCCCTCTCACCCGCCCTATCACCCCCTCCCCCCTCCCCATGCCCACCTTTCTCGCCCTCAACACTCCCCACGCCACCCCCACCCTCTCTCCCCTTCTCTCCACTGCCGTCGCCCCCACTACCCTCAGCAACCCCTTGACGTGCATCACCACCACCAGTGCCTGGGACGTGCGCGTGCCCGCCCTGCTGCTGCCCCCACCACGCCACTCTCGCCACCCTCGCCCCGTGCCGGATGGTCACTGCCAGGGGCGCGCTGCTGCACAGAGGAGGCCGGGAGGAGCCATTGGTGGATGGCCTTGAGTACGGCGTGATTGGGTGAGGTGGAGATGTTTGTGCGGCGGTTGGGTGGGGCGTCAATGGTCGGGGTGCGGTTGGTTGCAGTGCGGATGTCTGGGTCAGGTTGGTGGGTGGGGGGGAGGGGCTAGATTGAGGAGGGAGAGGAGGGGAGGCGAGCATGCTTGGGGGAGGAAGGGATGGGAAGGCTGTAGCAGTGAGGGCTGTAGCAGTGGGGGATGCAGCAGTGGTGAGAGCAGTGTGGGTGGTAGCGTCTGTGTCAGCACAAACCACGGCGGAAGGTTCTGCTGTTGCAGATGCAGTAGCAGCAGACGTTAGATCTTTCACATCAGCAGCAGGAGCTCCCGTTTCATCTTTGGCAGCACCACCTCCCGTTTCATCTTTGGCAGCACCACCTCCCGTTTCATCTTTGGCAGCACCACCTCCCGTTTCATCTTTGGCAGCACCACCTCCCGTTTCATCTTTGGCAGCACCACCTCCCGTTTCATCTTTGGCAGCACCACCTCCCGTTTCATCTTTGGCAGCACCACCTCCCGTTTCATCTTTGGCAGCACCACCTCCCGTTTCATCTTGAGCAGCACCACCTGCCGTTTCATCTTTGGCAGCACCACCTCCGGTTTCATCTTTGGCAGAACCACCTTCATCTTTGGCAGCACCACCTCCCGTTTCATCTTTTGCAGCACCACCTCCCGTTTCATCTTTCGCAGCACCACCTCCCGTTTTATCTTTCGCAGCACCACCTCCCGTTTTATCTTTCGCAGCACCACCTCCCGTTTTATCTTTTGCAGCACCACCTCCCGTTTTATCTTTCGCAGCACCACCTCCCGTTTCATCTTTGGCAGCACCACCTCCCGTTTCATCTTTGGCAGCACCACCTCCTGTCACATCATCGGTAACAGCAGCAGGTACTGCCGTATCTTCGGCACCCCTACTTGCCGTTACATCTTTTTCTTCAACCATAGAAGCCGCAACACGTGCACCATCAACAGGAGGAGAAGCAGTTACGGTTACATCATTCAAAGCAGCAGCAGAAGCAGCAGCAACTGGTGTTACTTCACTGGCACCAGCAGCAGCAATGGTTCCATAATGCTCTTGCATGCGCTGCCTCCGCTCACCCTCTCTCCCACCGCACGGCCCCTCCTTCCTCTCGCTCTCACCCTCGCCTGCACGCCCCTCCTTGCTCTCACCCTCCGCCATCGCTTCTCCCGCCCCTCCCATTCCCGCCCCTCCCATCATACGCCCTGCTGCCTTCCCTTCACCCACAACCACACTCCCTTCGTGCTGTGCCTGCCCCCATGCCCGCTCCCCACCCTGCTTCCCTCCCTTCTCCTCACTCTGCTCCCCTCCTTGCCTCCTCCCCTGCTCTGAATCTCCAATACACCCCTCCATCTTGCCTATCCCAATCCCGCCCCCTTCAATCCCGCCCCCTTCAATCCCGCCTCCAGCCACCCCCACTCCCTCCCCTCCCCCCACCACCACCTCCCGGTGCCCCCCTTCTGCCCGCCCCTCCGCCTCGTCCAGCCTCGCCCGCTTGGCCCGAGGGAGGTCGTCGTGAGAGTGGCAGGGACGGATGGCAGAGGGGCGAGGAGAGGGGGGGGTGTGTGCGGGAGCAGTTGTTGGAGGAGGAGAGGCGGGAGTGCGTGCGGGAGCGTTGGGGGGAGGAGGGGAGGGCGAGCGGGCGTGTTGGAGGGCGAGGGCGGCGCAGGAGAGGAGGTGGAGAGGCAGCGATGCTGCGAGGAGAGGCAGATCCACCTGGTGGTGTGTGTCCGCATGATGGCATGGCCACGCATGCATTCCAACCCACACATGCATTCCAACCCACACATGCATTCCAACCCACACATGCATTCCAACCCACGCACCCGGCCACGTACATGGGTCAAATGCACATGCACGGTACATGGGTCAAATGCACATGCACGGTACATGGGTCAAATGCACATGCTCGCGTACATCCCATCCCATCCCATACCATCCCATGTGACCACATGTACATGTGTGCATTCACATAACGTGAGACCGTATGTGCATGCATGCACCCGTTCATATCCACACAAGTATGTGGCACGCACACATGCATCAATGCGCTCAGGTACACATAACTTGCCCGCGCGCATCCACACACATGCGCACACGGACAAGCGTGCAAGGAAGGCACAAGAGATGGAGTGGGGTGAGAAAAGAACCTAAAGAATGACTTTTCAGTCTACTTAACAGAAGGGAGTGGGGTGAGTAGTGAATCCAGGGGGGACAATCAGGCGCCAAGAAAGCGTGGAGGAAGCACAAGGGAATGAAGGAAGCGACGGGGAAGAGGGCGGCACGGGCGAGGCGCCTACATGCGTGCTCACGCCGCGGCGCCTGTCCCACAAGCGAATGGGCGGGAAGTCCACCGGCGGCTTCCGCTGACGTGGCAAGCTATCAGTCTGACGTGGCGGGGCATCGCGCAGCGCGTGCTGCACGAGCGCCATGAGGTCGTTGGAGCTCATGGCGTGCAGCTCCTCCACGGCGAACCCCACGTTGCACACGCCGCGCCGAGCCTCGCCACTCACTGCGCCGCCGCCTCCGTCGCTGCTACCGTTGCCGCCGCTATTCATGGCTGCGCAACGCAGTCGCCGCTGTTACCAAGATGCGAGCTGTGGGCAAGGGCGGTGGTCGAACACTGTTCAGGGCGGAAGGGCGTGTGACGAACTCTCACAGCTCCATCCAGCGCTACTAGAGCGCGGTGCACTTGACGCATTTCGGAGATAAAGTCGTTAAAGCCGGAGTACACATTCAACGCGGCTCGAGAAATGAAATTGGGCGGCAAATCACACGAAACGAAATGGAAGGGAGGGGGATATCGTTGGTGGGGAGTTGGGACTTGGCAAGCGCGAATTTGATAACCTTTGAACGTAACGTAGGCGAGGGGAGGGTGTAAGGAATTTTCTCGGCATTCCTTAGCGCATCCTACCACATCGCGTACAGCAGCAGCCGTTGTTCGCCCGTTACTGCTAACGGGGCTTCGCCAACTTCGCGCGCACTGTTTCACCAAACCGGGGCTTCGCCAACTTCGCGCGCACTGTTTCACCAAACCTCGCACTGCTGGAGCAGCCGAGTCGGCCTACGCTTCGGGACTAGCCCGAACCTCGCGCCAGCATAGCACTAGCTAGCTCGCACGCACCGCGTTACCGTTTGCATGTCTCGCGTATAAATGTTCGCTCATGCCTTCGCTCACATTTTGTACTCGTTTGACAACTTAGTGCAATCCTCGCTACCTCGATTCATTGCACCCGTAACACTTGGTATTCAGAGCTACTTTCTTTCGGACCGCGCATCTCCGCACCCCAGGAAATCAACTTTTGTTTTTTCACTCGAAGGGACTCACGCACCTTAGCCCCTAGGAGCCGCTGTCCTCGCGTTCTCTCGTAAACGCATGCACCCACGACTGCGCCTAGACTAAGCCGAGCCGACGCCCTTCGCAATGGCCGAACATATCGACGTCACGACACTCACGCAGGACCGCCTGAATGAAATGCTGCGCCAACTACACGAAAACTCCGAAGAAATCGCGGCACTGACGGCGGAACGCACATCCCTGCAGAATGACGTCGCACGAGCACAACAAGCGCAATCACAAGCATCTGGCACTCCGGTACAGCCTGCACCACAAGCATCACAGCACGGAAGTGTGGGGCAACCCGCGAGCGCGGCCAGTGATGGCGTCGTCCGCCACGACGGAGACGACGACCACGGCACGACACACCCCGAAGCGACGAATGCGGCCAGGAGTCAACCTCGCGTCACGATTTCTGTGCCGGCCGGCGACTCAACACTGCCGTCGCCGATGCCGCTGAAGCCGCAGCGTCCGCCATGCTTTGACCCGAGTCAACGGGGTGGTCCTACCGTTCAGGCGTGGTTGTTCACGTTGATCGTTTTCTTCGACGCCAACTACGTCTCGGAGGATACGGCGAAGATTCGCTACGCCGTGTCGCTGCTGCGAGGACCCGCCATGGACTGGTGGCGCATCATCGTCACGAAGCCGATGGACTACGCGACTCTATCGACACGGGAAGGACAAACCGGACCCTGGGCGCTGTCGTATTTCGTGGAGGTGCCCCAATATCGCATGTGGGACGCGTGGTGCGCAGGTCTGCGCGCTCGATTCGAGCCAATCGCGGCTTCGATCGCGGCGCGACAGAAGCTCCGCACTTGGCGCCAACTCGGTTCCGTCCAGGATTACACCAGCGGGTTTCTGGCGCTATGCGAGCAAGTGGGATACATGCATGAGAGCGAGCGCATCGACCGTTACATCGGCGGCCTGAAGCACAACATCGCTCAGGAAATTCAGCTTCGCGGCGTCACCGATTTTCAAGAGATTCTCGCTATGGCGGAGAAGCTTGACTTCTTTCGCCCACCGAGACCGGGGTCCTACGGAAGCAGCAGTAACTGGGGACATCGATCTCGTGGGACGAACGAGGGCGCTACGATACGTGCCGTCGCCGCGAATGCCGCTGCCGCACCGTTCAAAGGGCGCTGCTTTGCGTGCAATCGGCCGGGACACCGCAAGAGCGAATGCCCGGAAAACGCTAAGGGAAAGGGGGAAGCTGAGCAGCAGAAACAGACCAAGCAGCAGGGAAACGCTGGGAGTCAGTAGCAGACGGGCCCTCTACTGACAGGTCACGCCGCTCGCCCGACCCAACCGACCCTCACCGAGTGATTGTGCCGGTTCACGCAATCGACCACACCCGACCGAATAAAGAGGGTACTACGGTAGACAGCCCCACACTGCTTAGTGGGAAAATCGGGACGGACTTAGTTAAAATATTCGTAGACGGGGGAGCCAGCCACAGCCTGATCAACACTGCCACAGCACGAAAACTGAGACTGCCACTGGACAGGTGTTTACCTGAGATCGACGCACGACTGGTTGACGGCACGCCACTGGCGATACGGGAACGCGTAGACCGGGTTCGGATTCGATGCGGGGGAAAACCGCCATTTCAACTGTATCGTGTGTTATCTTTCCCATGCTCACTGCACACACTACAACGCAGACGGGGGAAAACCGCCAGGCGTCTTATGGAGAAGTAACCAAGGGAATTGCGGCATCCAGTCTGACGTATAGCTCTTCTGCGCCTTCACGTATGCTTTGTCTTTCTTATCCTCGGCTGAAAAGGGACGGATGGGTGGTGGAGCGTTTGCTGGGACAGGAACAGAAGCGACAACCTTCACTAGAGGCGTGCCAAACTGGAGCACAGACTGCGTCAGACGTCGTTCTTTCTGCGTCATTTTGCCGGTCGACTCCGGCGTGGCTGCGTCAATGACCTCGTTTGGAATTGTCGCGGCCGGTTCAGCAACCTTTTTTTGTGCGTGGCGATCGAACCCACTCCTCGATACCATCGCCAGGTTCAGCTTCTTTTTCCGTGTGTGGCGATCGAACCCACTCCTTCGATCCCGTCGGAATGCTCCTCATCTTCGCGCATATGGGCACGATGCATCCCACGAAGAAACTCGAGCCCAGTCGTTGGGCCAGAGCTGCACGAGGACCTTTCATCTGGTTCAGGTGCGTCAACGTCGTCACCACTAGCCATCGTGCGCATGTTCGAAAAAACTAGGTGAGGCGTGCGCTCAAGGAAGCCCACTCTAACAAACTGAAACATGTGCAATTTTTGGATCTAGGGATTGAATAGTGAAAATGGGAGTAGAAAGTGGGGTTCACCCCGTCAGCCAGCCAAGCAAGAGGGTCCCACGAGCGCGTTGCACAAGAAAATGGTCCTGCATTAGCAGCTGCTGTATCATGCCCGAAACCAGAGGGAAGTCCGAATGTGCTGGCAACGAAAATCTAACTAAGTATAAGAGAGTAGCTCTCAACACGTGCTGGCTCGAAAGTTGCCATTCCAACCAATTAGCGCTCAAGATGCCGCCAACACACCAGCGAAGCCAGGGGAAAATTATCGGCGGCTCAGACAACAACCCAATCATGACTGAAGCTCTATCAGAAAAAACTCCAGCAATCTTCATCAGGTCGATGCCAATGCTCTCGGAGAAAAGCTGCAAGTAACGAGGCAACATCATACTCGTCGAAGGTTAGTAAACCGAGAAACTCGGTTACAACCATACGATTCTTAAATGACGTGGCAAGCACGATCATGTGTTTGCCACACACGTTCAGGAGCCGCAGCTGTTCCCAGTTAAGGAGCGTGGTGATAGCTCATACCATTTCTACGAAACCATACTTGGACACACAAAAAACAAAACATTCAAGCATTGGCATACTGAAACGATGTGTGAGCAACGATGCACTACCTGGATATGCAAAAACTCCAACTCGTTTGACAACAAACTACCGGTGTGAGAGTACAGCGGCTATGCTTACCCGTTCTCGCTTATCTATATTTTCCTATGCTCATCTGTGCTAGTTTTCCTAGTTTCGTTGCTTTAGTATAGTTATTATAGTTGTAGGCACCGAATTAGGTTGCGTGCACCGAATTCTTGCTCATTTAAGTTATTCACCTCGTGACTTTGCGTACGCGTGATTCCGCCGAATTGATTCTACCGAATTCCGGAAGGTCCTGTTCCCGATGCTTCGTGAACCTAGGAACCTTCTCGTAGCACTTGGTTACCTTGCCTTGTTTCGTGCCTATATATAGCCTCGTGTTGTACCCAGGTGATCTAAATACATATTACGAACTCGATCCTCAATCTTCACACTTGGTAATCAGAGCCTGTTTTTAGTCGGAGTTCTTCAACCGCTAAAACACAGCCTTAAAAAAACCGCGGGGGCGACGACAAGGTACACCAACAATCAGCATTACTACCACCATCACTCAGAAGGTGATGTAGACGTTGTACGTGTGATGAGGAATGTCGGCTGCTCCCTCGTCTACAAGGAACTGGATGAGCGGGGAGTAGATGTGGATTGGAGTGTCTGTCTTGCATAGGAAACGAATGCTCCGCATCAGGCGTGAAATGCGAGCGCCTTCAGAATCGCCCTTTGTAAACTCGTCGATCCTATTTTGATCCTGAATTTTCTTCATCATGCTCATCTACTTCTTCATTGCATGTTCGTGCTTTATGCTCTCCTCGTGCCACCACATGGAATCAACCTGCAAGTCACGGCCGCCCTTGCCATTTCAACCGTATCATGTGTTATCTTTCCCATGCTCACTGCACACACTACAACGCAGGCGGGGGAAAGCCGCCAGGCGTCTTATGGAGAAGTAACCAAGGGAATTGCGGCAGCCAGTCTGACGTATAGCTCTTCTGCGCCTTCGCGTATGCTTTCTCTTTCTTGTCCTCGACTGAAAAGGGACGGATGGGTGGTGGAGCGTTTGCTGGGACAGGAACAGAAGCGACAACCTTCACTAGAGGCGTGCCAAACTGGAGCACAGACTGCGTCAGACGTCGTTCTTTCTGCGTCATTTTGCCGGTCGACTCCGGCGTGGCTGCATCAATGACCTCGTTTGGAATTGTCGCGGCCGGTTCAGCAACCTTTTTTTGTGCGTGGCGATCGAACCCACTCCTCGATACCATCGCCAGGTTCAGCTTCTTTTTCCGTGTGTGGCGATCGAACCCACTCCTTCGATCTCGTCGGAATGCTCCTCGTCTTCGCGCA